GATTTTTTTCTTTGCAATTATGAATCTGCAGTAATGTCACATTACTCTAGAAAATTTTATGAGGTTATTTGAGAATACAATTGAGATAAGCAAATTTAATTCATCTGGTGTACTGTGTGCCCTCTTAATCATGGATCTGATTGTGCATCTAATCAGATCAGTGGACTCTTTTACATTGATTTTGTGGTTAAGAAAACTGGGACTATTTTACATTAAAGTGAAATAAGTCTTTCAATTCATTTCAATCCAAGCTGTTTAGGAATATTTAGGAAGACCATAGGTGCAAAGATTTTAACAAGGTTGAATGGTATTTGTCTGTAAAATAGGTGAAAGGTTTGATGTTAAAGACATTTCCAATAGAGGAAATAATATTTACTAAAACCCTACACCACAAAATACAGGATGCAAGTGTCATCTGTTTATTCCAAAGGTAAAATATTATGTTTATATTAACAGTGTCTGATAAAGTAAACATTCATTTTCCTTCTTATTCAAGAAATACTATAAATGAGTAAATCAACAATGACAGAATTCAATATACTTTTAATGATTGTTTTTTTGCATATATTTTCCAAGGCAAGCACTGTAAGCGTCCACAAGCGCTGTAAAGTGTCCATTGTTCTTATCTCTGCAAAAAGAGTATCTAGAGAAATGTGCCTTGCAAAGTAAGGGCCTTCTTCAAAACAGTGTCGAGGTAGTCCCAGAATGAATGTAACCTCTAATTAATATGATATACTTAATATTCATGCCCTCCTTCACAGCTGTGCTGATAACGGAATAAGGTTGGTCTGTTGCCAAAACTCACCAACAATTTGAACATGCTATTTCAGCAATTTCAGGCAAAAGAGAGAAACTTTACTTACCACTAATAAAAAAACTAACTTTAAACCTGATTTTAGAACTCAATGTCAGTTAAATGACAAGCTTAAATTACAAGCTTAATTGAGGCCCAACAAAATTGGCTGAAATATACTGTTATTTTGTGTACTTTTTTATATTTAGATTAAAACATTAAATGCCCTCGTAGTGCATTTCTGCTCTGTAAGCTACTTCATAAACACAAGTTAACAAACTCAACTTCTCTTCACCATTAATTGGGTTTATATTAAATTTACCTTGTACCAGCCCAGACCTCAGAAGGAAACCAGACATGCTGCTTACAAGGGTGCCATTAAAACAGAAGTCTGTCGATACAGTTATTTAGGTATGTACATGCTTCCCTGTGCAGCCCTCAGCTGAATGTATGCTTCGGGGCTGTTTATACTGAAGCTCCATGAATGAAAAAGTGTAATTATTATTTCATATATTCTTTTTTTGAAAAAAACCTGATCCATAAAAACAGGCTTTAACAGTTCTCCTTCATGCAGATTATTTTTCATTTTGCTATTTCTGATTTTTTTTCTTTTTTCCTATTTGCTGATTTTTAATGTTATTTCTTTTTAAGTATCTGAGTCTGTATCAGCATAGTTTTCATACTACATTGACAGAACAATACAACTGTTAAGACTCAACTACTCAGAAAATATTGGCTGAAAAAATTAAGTAATAGCTTTTCTTGCTTTCTTATCTTATTCTCCAAGTTGTCTCTTTACTTCTAAAACGTTTCACTTCTCTCTCCAGTTTGCTACTAGCTATTTTTACTTCCAGTTTTTCAGCTGCCAGCACATTGTGCTGATGCATATAACAGAACAATACAACTGTTAAGACTCAACTACTCAGAAAATATTGGCTGAAAAAATTAAGTAATAGCTTTTCTTGCTTTCTTATCTTATTCTCCAAGTTGTCTCTTTACTTCTAAAACGTTTCACTTCTCTCTCCAGTTTGCTACTAGCTATTTTTACTTCCAGTTTTTCAGCTGCCAGCACATTGTGCTGATGCATATATACAGCAAGAATATATTATATTTGGGGGGGAAAAAAAAATCCATGTCCACAAACATTCCTTAAATTAATGAAAACATTATATCACTGTTCTTGCTTTCTTATCTTATTCTCCAAGTTGTCTCTTTACTTCTAAAACGTTTCACTTCTCTCTCCAGTTTGCTACTAGCTATTTTTACTTCCAGTTTTTCAGCTGCCAGCACATTGTGCTGATGCATATATACAGCAAGAATATATTATATTTGGGGGGGAAAAAAAAATCCATGTCCACAAACATTCCTTAAATTAATGAAAACATTTATATCACTGTTATATTAAGTCAATTAGAGGAACTGACAAATTCCAATATAATTTCATACCGCACAGAGAAAAAGTGTGTTACATTTTTTGCCAGATAGCTATTTTACTTTCCCTTATTAGGCACTAGGATCTTCCCCATCCAATCTTGTTTGTATTGAGGCTTATTGGGTATTTTTCATGGCTCAATCCAAAACTGTGAAGACAATCTCAAAATTGATTAATCATATTTCTAAAATACTGACATTTGTACAATACAAGCATGGCTGTTTATGCACACAATGTAAACATATCCATTTATTCACAGACAATGGATTTTGCTTTTTTCCTTTCTCGCTACTTTATTTTTTGACGGCAAGCCAAAAAAATGCAAGATTTTACTCAAATTAGTCATGGGTATTATAAACAATGGTAAAAATATTGATTTTTATTTTTTTTAGCTGCAATATCTATATGAAATACATTTGCAAAACTAACCTGTGATCTAAAATGCAAAATAAATCAACCAAGTCTGACAAGACAATCGGACACTGCATCCTGACTTACTCTATCTGAATTTGAATTACAGTATGGCCAGCCCATTTAGGCCGTTAATACCAAAGATGCTGATTTCTTAATAGTGCCATAAAACACGGCACACATACAAAAAAGCACATTAATTGAAGCTCAGTTACAGAACTGTGCTAATATTAATAACACTGCCTGCCACATCCTTGCCATTTCATCCCACAAGGGTAGGAACTAAACCAACTGAGTACCCCAAATCCGCAGCTGATACGGTTAATCTGAAAGTGAAGGCAAGCATGCCTTGCACTAATTAAAATGGGGGGGGAGAGGAGGGAGGGAAATATCCTGATGGTCTGATTCTATAATCCCACTTGCTCTCCCAGAGGAAGAGAGCAGCATCTAGGAACTCTGCAGTATTTTTTACCTCGCCCCAGATTTAAAGAGTGCCCTATGCAATAACTGCCTAAATTGCTGTGAATTCCTAGAAGAAACACTTCTCTTTCATAAAAACAACCCATAGAATTTAATGAAAAAATTGAAATTCATGATCTGAAAGGAGTCGAGGCACTGCAAGGCAACACCAGGCTCCTGATATTTTTCCCCTGTACTTCTGCTGAGGGGGGAAGGCACAAACACTTCCAGTGAAAGCCCACGAGACTGATGCCAGGCTTCCTCTGGGGCTGGGAATAGGAAACGGGAGCCACCTGCACGCTCTCCAAATACAGTCACCTTTTTAGATGCATGGAGTAACGGAGGCCCAGTAAGGCTCCAATTATAATTCTGACTGAATTCTTCGTATTGCAGCAGGCTGAAAGTATCCACTCTTGAAAGAGAAAAGAAAAGTGGTTCCTTTACAATACCACCCAAAGACATGGCGTATGTGTGTTTACTGGGGCAATTTGGGACGACAGATTTTGGGGTGCCTCACCTCACCATTTCTTGGGTTTGAGAAGGTTAAATTTAATTAGAAACTCTTCTCTAGAAAAACACAGGCCACAACATAGCAATCTTCTCTCCTCTTTAACACTTTCTTAAATTACCTGAACTTTATAGTCAGGATTTTAAAATTCTACTTTTATAATATGGAACAAAATATGAAAGAAACTATGCTTACAGAAACCTCACATTGTCAATCTTTGCAGTGGTCTTTAATTAATCAAGGAAATGATACGCCTCAGACTTGATTAACCCCCAATTTATTTAAAGCATAACTATTAGCTGCATTAAGAGCTTTCATTGTCTCAGACAGAAAATCACCACCATTAAACAGATATTACACGTTTGTAGCTTGCCCTCACCATCATTTTTCCTAAGGAATACAAGAAATAAGAGGAATTACCTGTGTAAACACAAACTGGTAGAATATTTTTCTCAAGAAAACTGGTGCTTCGTTCCATTTAAAGTCTGTACTTCTTGATATATGATAAATATTATGCTTATTATAATTCTAGATTTTATTTGCATAGCTATTGTACTGCTAGTTTAGACAGATTAGCAATCAGATATATACATGGAAAATATTGTGGTACCAAGCAGAAGTGTTGTCTGATGATAAACTCTCTAAATGTATTACAGTGAACAGCCCATCTTAGATTCTTTACATTTTACAAAGCTGCATAATTTGAAATATTTGGGGCACCTGCTGTTGGGAAATATTGCCTGGTTTTCGATTTTATACAAACAGCATAGTCTGCCATCTGTACTGAAGTCCTAGGGTTTATGAAGCATGAAAAAAGCCTGCTGTCCTAGGCCCTAACTTTTCCGCTGCAATAGAAAAAACAGAAATTTTAAAAAATAAAAAAGGGCAACAATGCTTAAAATCGAATGACCTAGATAATGATGCGGAAGAAACAAAGACATTGTCTTGTTTCAGCACAGTTGGTTCCTCCAATATAAATATAAAAGCTCTCTGAAAAGTTAATTTGGCCATCTCACAAAGGTGTTCTTGCATTGCCAAATGAGCAATACCTGACTGTTTTGATCAACAGGAATTCGTAAGGAAATATAGTTGAGCAAGTGGGAAAGGGAAAGTCTATTTCTTTGATCTGTTGAGAAAATTTGTCCTGGAAAGTCTTGGTTCACCCATATTCTATTTGGTGGGACATAAAGCTTTGGATTGGGTCGGGCTAAACGTGGAGCCGAGGTTCATCTATGCTGTAAGGAGGAGAAAGTAACGGAAACAGAGGCCTACTGTACCAACCAGCACTGATGAAAGATGTCACTGCAAAAGAGTGGTTTGATATTTATGGGCACATACAGCAATATACTAATACCTGCTATAAATTGAAATAAGCATGCATTACTTAATGAACTTACCAGCCTGCGGATCTCTCTCTCACATTCCCGCTTTATTCTATTAATCTCATCCTGATGGGACTGATAAGCCGTGCGCAGGTCAGCAGCCTTCATTTTATCTGCCTGCATAATGTTGTTCAAAGCTTCTTCAAGCTGCTTTTTGCCAGATTTCAGCTCCAAGATCTCCTGTTGCAGCTTCATCCGTTCACCGTCAAACGCCTTGCGAGCCTCCTCCTTTGCTTCACTCAGCAGCGCCGTCTTCACTTTGTCAGCCGCCCCGTCCCGCAGGACATTGACTGTTGACTGCAAACGCTGAATTTCACCATCTTTGATTTTCACCATTCTCGCTACCTCCTGCTCATGCTGCCGGATCAGTAGCTCTCTGACACTCTGAAGTTCCTTCATTTTCTCCTCGTGGAGCTTGGCTTTCAGTTCAGAAACATAGGCAGTGTGCTTGTGCTGCTCCTGCTCCCTTTCTTGCTTAACCTCTTGGATTTTCTCTCTCAATTTACCCACCTGGAACATCAATATAAAATATTGATTAACAAGTGCTACTACACTTTAAAAAGTCTTCAAGGGAGCTTTTTCTAAAACGATACTAAAAATGTTTTGAATATTTGCTTTTTGAATATTCATCCTGAATATTCAAAAGCAAAGACTGCATACCTGACGCTTCTCTCTCCAGTACACAACTGGAGAATCAGGGCCAGAAAAAGGCCATGCATGTGTGCAGGAATCTGCTATGGAGATGTGCTATTGGTGACAAGTTCTCACAGTTTTAGGTGATAAAATAAAACTGAGCAGCATCCAATCTAGTTCTCCTTATCTCCTCCACCAACCACTCCCCAGACTACTCTCATCCATAACCCCTCTACTGTGCCCTACAAGCAGACAGAAAACAAATCAAACAGAGAGAAAAGAGTTTCTGTTTATGCTGGGAAGGAAATGCTAGAAAACTTTCTAGCATTTGAAGGACCATACTTCACGGATGTTTATAGTGACTCAGATCTTCACATACATTCAATTAATTCATTCCCACAACATCCTTCTGTAGCTAAGCAGCGCTATCACTGTTCTACAGATGGGATGCTCAGACAAGCATAGATTGCATCACCTAATTTACACACATACTGTATTTAGGATTTGAGTCACAAATTCTTACACCCGAATCCACTACTTGACCTAAGATACTTCCTGCTAATCAGATGAGAAAGGATCTTGCCTTGAAGGAACAGAGAGAAGAGATCCTATCAACAAAGGGGCGTTCTTATCAGTAGGAACACGGGGACTAAAAACTAAATTAAAGGGGCAGGCAGGAGAGAAAAAAAAGACATTGATTTTTTTATTTCTTAATTTCTTAGCTACTTTAATGGGTAAATCCTTATTAGATAAGCCAAAAGAATCGGCCTTCTGAAAAATCAAGTCTACTCAAGAGGCCTCAGACAGGACACCCCAAAACTGAGGCTATGCACAGTCCCCAGACACTTCAGAAAATATAGGCCAGTGACTCTAAGGGTTGTGGGGGGAGTAGGGGAAAGGTCTTATAGCCTATTATAGTAATACCCACTGTGATGAAACCTCATTATAAAATGATGCTCAGCAGGCTGCATGGAAAGCAATGCTTTTTCCAAGTGGGATTGGATATTAATTTAGAAAAAGAAAAAAGAAAAAAAAAAATAAGGAGAAAGGATTGCTTCTCTATTATAGTATACCAGAAAGGCTATAACGTATTTCATCATGCGTAGTGTCAGTAACATCTTTCTATTATCCCTATCACAGTGACTGCCAAAATACAGGCTCTCTACATGTACTTCTCATCTAAAGCAAAGTCAGAGGCAGAGATTTCAAAGACTTGTGTTTTAACCTTGAGTGGCAATACAGTCATACATACCAAACAGTGCTTCGTGGCAAAAGGAGGTTACTGAGCAGCAGGATGTTAGTCACTGTCACAACATTCCTAGATTGCTTGCATCTACGCTATACAAAGCTGGGATCTGTAGTCATACAATGCATTTAATTTATGCTAAACTAAGCCAGAATTGCAACTTGCCTCAGATTAGTGCAGAAAGGATGGGAGGTCTCTATTAATACTCAGACTGTCATTTACTATGAAGGTATAGTTAAATTATTTTTTGCATGGTTCTGGATTCTACAGTCAAAACAAAAGTAAAGGGTTAATTAAAAGCAATAATACTAGTTCAGGAAAGGCCCAGAAACATTCATTATTTTGCTTATTGAAAGCAGGTTGGATCCAAAGAGGCGCTTTTGTGTGTTTGCTTTAGGAAAAATGGGACATCTTAACTCAAAAGCCTCAGATATAACTCATCCAATGAATCCAAGATTGCTACTTAATTTAAGAGTGACCATAAAATGAGACCAACACATTACTCATCAAACCCACAGCACTGACAGTAGGATTTCCAGAGTCTGAACTTTACCTGAAGTCTTCAGACAGCAGGGACAGCAGACTTTCCCTGTGCAGAAGATGTTATGATCCTGTTTAACCAACTCAAACATACTCTAGACTTAAACAAAATCAAATCAAATCAAATAAAAATAAAAAGGAAACAGGCTGAAGCAGGAGAAGGAGGGTAGGTATCTATGTTTTCATGAAAGTAATCTTCTAGATACACTGTGGAATAAACACCAGCTGAGACAGCACTATACAGCTGTGGAAAAGGTAACAGCTCTGAATCAGACACCATCAGAAGCAGATTTTGTTGCACAGATACTATTACTCTACTCCAGGATGATTCAGATAACGTATCTTTATGAAGAAAGATAGATTTTTTGGTATTTTTTTTCCTCCCAAACTGCTAAGTCTGGCTATTGGAAATTTTCTGCAGGAGATATCCATGTGTTACTTCTTCTGGTGGGATGACATTTAGTTCCAAGCCTGCAGTGGATAGCACTGATTTTCAGTGTTTGGATTAGGGTACTCGATTCCACAGGAGAGTCTAAGACTGTCCTACCCCTGTCCATAGCATGGGGGTTGGACTAGATGATCTTTAAAGGTCCCTTTCAACCCAAACCATTCTATGATTCTATGACAAAGCTAAACCACTTATTCACCTATTTACTGTCACAAGTGGATGAGTTTATAGGTAAATTTGCAGACGAACCAACACTTATTATTCACTTAAATCTACTGGTTATTTCCTTACTGGTGAGCAAAGAAAACTGAAATGAAACTGAGAAATGAAACCCTGTAACAACAACATCGGAAAACAAACTGTATAATGGCATATATAGGTACAGTAAATACACCTCCAGAACTACGGTAATTTAAAATTAGTCATATGGTACATAAAGCATGCAATTGAAAGGCAGTTTTCAATACAACTTATTAATGAATGTGACTTTCTAAAAGCATTTTTAATATACAAGAAACGGATTCTGAAATTTTGGAGGAGTACTGTTACACAAAATGGCATAGTTGCTCAATTTTTTTTTTGTCTTTCACTGAATTAAGGGAAGGCAACATCTATATGCATTGCTGCTGTCTGTGACAACACATATTAAACCACTCAGAGTAACTGAATGTTATCACACATCATCTAGTCATCCTACCTACAGAGTTTCAGCAAGAGCAATGTAAACAAGAAGAATAAGAATCCTTCTAAAACCCCTGGATTTTTACACTGCATCTTAAATGCCTATCACTGCTCATGACCCAGTAAAAAAGATGCATCCCAGTTCTCAAGGTCTTTAAAAGTCTTTTCTTGTTATTGCTTCTTGTCAGACAAGATGGAAAGTTAGATCTGTCTGTTAGGTCTTCCCTGAAAGCCATAAGCTGTCCTTCCCGCACTCCCTCCGTCCCTCTTATCCCACACACTATGCAGATCTGTACATGTCTGGCTTCCAGAGCAACTGACTGAATGAAAATAGTAGTGTGGCATTTCCCCATATGCCTAAGTCTCAGTTTCAAAATGAACTTAAACTTTAAAGCAATTTGTCTTTTTTTAATTTCTGGCTTTTTTTTTTTTTTTTAAATTGAGAAAGCTGCTCTGTTCATAGGCAGAACATGAAGCATCACCAAGAAATTAAGCCAACAGGGAAACAAAGTCAGGCAGGATATCAGGGCACCAATAAAACAGTTATTTTCTGCCTTTCTAAATTAAATCTTTAATAATTGGTGCACACTGATACAACATTGTTGCCCAAAGCAGATGCTAGCTTCTTGGAAAAATAATGCCAAATGTCATTGCTTCTTCCCTTTCTTATGTCTGAACAGTGCCTGAAAGAAGGATTTTCTTTAAAACAATATGATTATATTATCATACAATATTTGCATCTGGTGTTGTTTTCTTTGACAAGGTACTTTGTGCACTTGAGACAGAAATATAATAGTTCAGTTTTATGAACTGGAGTCAATGACATAATTTTAAAATTACACATTTCCTAAAAAACGTAACCTATTAACCCATATATGTTTCCAAGTGCTACTGAACCACTGCCCCAATAAAAATGTTATGATAAGAACTTACTAAGGACTACCTCTTTTTTTTTTCTCTTGGATATAAATGCAGATATTTTTTATTTGTGGCACAATAGTCAATCACTTGGGAGGTGGGAGGGATACTCTCCGCACAGCTTTTTGCCAGGAACTCAGGTTACAGTAGGCAATTTATTGCCAACTGTGAAAAAGGTGGATTACTAGAGGTGAGGCCAACAAGCAAAGATGCTACTGTTTATTTTAAAAATCAAATGCAATAGCAACTTTCCTTCAACAAGAACAAAAGAAGTCTGTATGGTTTGCTTTTTCTAAAAAATATGTAAACTCTACTCCTATTTAAGCACACTTACAGTGTAATCTAGTGTCCAGCCAACAGCATCCTTTCTATTAAAATTTCAGCGTGCATTGGATCATGCCATTAAAAATGATTCACTTAGGCAAGGCTGCTGTGGACATAAGCAACCAAAGATCATAGAATCATAGAATCATAGAATCATAGAATGGTTTGGGTTGGAAGGGACCTTAAAGATCATCTAGTTCCAACCCCCCTGCCATGGGCAGGGACCCCTTCCACTAGACCAGGTTGCTCAAAGCCCCATCCAACCTGGCCTTGAACACTTCCAGGGATGGGGCATCCACAGCTTCTCTGGGCAACCTGTTCCAGTGCCTCACCACCCTCATAGTGAAGAATGTCTTCCTTGTATCTAATCTAAATCTACCCTCTTTCAGTTTAAAGCCATTACCCCTTGTCCTATCACTACATGCCTTTGTAAAAAGTCCCTCTCCAGCCTTCTTGTAGGCCCCCTTCAGGTAC